ATATCAACTATCAAGCATAGATTACGGATATAACAAAGTCAGTTGGTGAAATCTATCATGTACTTTAAGACATTATAGGAAACTAAATCAAGGAATTTTGTTAATAAATTATGTATTTATTGGAATCATGGAGCCTATTTATTGTATTTTGTGATTATTAAAGATCGTAAAACTCCTACTAGGCGAGAGATATCACTCCTATAATGATATTTTATTAGGAGATAATATTTGTTGAATGTGGTTAAGTAAAAGTACATCTGAACATCAATATCATTACTCTAGACACGTTCTGTATTTACTGGGCTATTATCAATATGATCACCTCGCTCTACACCCCTTGAATGAAAATGAAGTGAGCTAATGACACATTCTGTTACTTCCTGGTTTGTTGCCCCCCTCCTTGTCACTTTATTCCCTTATCGTCGAATTAAAAGGGAATTTAAATTCCTGCTTTTCTGTCCCTAGGCTAATGACACGTTTTGTATTTAATGGGTTATTAGCAATATGATCAACTCGCTCTACACCCCTTGAATGAAAATGAAGTGTACTTTTCTGCTGGTGTAATGATACATTCTGTTACTTCCTGATTTGTTGGGAATTTGACCACCTTTTTCAAATCTCTTAAATAAAATTGAAATGTAACGCAATAATTATTCACTTCTGAGCTAATGCCACGTTCTGTATTTTACTGATTTGATGAGAATATGACTCACTCTCGATCTTTTTTCTTATAATTGACATGAAACGAAACGTTTAACACCCTCATTTACTGCTCAAGTTCTAATGTACCATGTATTGTGGAATACGGGTGATTTTGCTAGCAAATCGGTACATAAGATAGCTGACCATGAGTTTAAAGGGATTGTAAAAAGGTTTTCTAAATTTTGTATATATATCAGGGTCACTGATAGCATCAATTTGAACCCTTCCAATTTTCAATTAGACGATCGTGGTTCCTGCAATTCCACTAAAACTAAGTGTTTGATGATGTCACTAATCCCGAAGGATGAGAAAGAATACTTTGCGACAACATACGTCTGATCGAAAATCGGAATAGTGCAAATGGATCTCCCGTACACATATAACATTTAGAGAACCTCTATACAATCCAATTAAGTGTTTGATCCCGGGATATTTCTATTCAGTAATGAAAACACATTATGCAACGTGGGCAATTTTTCCAGGAGAGCGGCCCTTTAGATCCGTGGTTACTGAGACATAAGGTTCGATTCTGGCATAGTTCACAGTGTATTTAGTATAGTATCTGGATCTGCCGCCCAGATTTCCCTGTCTGAGAGGCGGGCATGTAAAAGTTGTCTTGTCCCTCGAATCTGTAGGTAGGTTAGTATGGCCATGGAAATCCTTCTGTAAACCAAAAGCTCTAAAAACATGTGCTTGGTGTGTTTTAAAATTTACAATCTAATAATCTATTTTGACAAAGATGTCAGTTTGTTTGATAATCAATACAATAAGCTATAATTGTTCAATTCATATTGACTAAAACAGATGTTTCACCTGCAGGATCGGTTGACTTCATTTCTGACTGTCATTAAGTGCAACTAGCCTCCAGCCCACTTCCTTCTTCAGATTATTGAATTGATTATTAACTATACTATAATTTAGTGGTTGTCGTTTGTAAGGCAGTTCATGGTTACCCTTCACAAACGCTACCATTTTGCTACCAGTGAGGCTTCTACGGGGCTACAAAAGAGCTGACCGGCTTAACCACCGTCTCCACTTTCAAATTTGACATATGGAAAATCGAAAGAATTACCAGCCAGCCCCCTTAACAAGTCTGTGGCCCCTACTTCCTCCTTACCTAATGAACGCTTTGACTGCAACTACCATAGATATCTCTGACCGTTAGAGTTATCACATACTCTGTTGTATGATTAATAATATTTATTTTTTGTCTGAGCAAAGTAATTAGTTATTTTGATTTTTCCCATTATTTTTAAGACATTCTAAGTCTGACAGTACTAGTTTGAGGCTGATATTCCACTTATATTAAAAAATATCGAAAAAATTAAGAAAAACTTCTTGATTTGTTCAGACAAGTATAGTATATTTATTGATAAATCTATATTCAATGTTCTGTTTACATGTCAATAAAAGAATACATAGCCTCAGGATATTTCCGTTGAGGTAGTTGATCTCATTTTTATTACTTCCTCAAATTAAAATCAATTTTATTGCTTCCAGCGATTTTCATTTTGAAAAGTATTACGGGTAACTGAAACCCAACATATAAGATAACATGTTAGATAGCCAATAGTTTCAGTATTTTTAAAACAAAATCTCTGAAATTAAGATGTATTGAGTTTTAGCCTCCCTTCAAATCTAAAAGATTTAAACAACCCCCAATCATTTTATAAAAAAAATATTTCAATGTTCTTCTCCAAATCAAACATCTACATTTTGTAATTTGTATATGAATTTATCAAATCGACAGTTATTACAGTGTACTGTGATATATCCGACATCTGAGTATTCCGACATTCTGCGTAATCTGACATCTTTTTTTTGGTCCCGATTGGTTTCTATTATTCGAGGTACTGTTGCCATGTCCATTTCATGTTAACGTTTCTTTTGTTATGAAAAGAACAGTACCTCGAATAATAGAAACCAATAGATATATAACTTAGTTCAATGGACATCATCCGCTAGATTTGAGAATAAAGTTTAAATTAGGCTAAAAATCCTTTCTTGTATTGCGCCCAATTCATGTACATACAAACAAAATTTATCAACAACAAATATAAAGCACTGTAATTGTTGTTTTAAGAAAATTTGTGAATATCAGAAGTCGATGAAGTATATAATAAATAATAAATGAAGCTTGGGATGAATATATATTGTCAAAACGTTTATCAATATTATCATTAAATATATAGATTGTTAGAATATAAGATCTAGTTTAATTAGTCTTTTAATATATAGATATTTCAGCAGGCGTTAAAACTAGGCTAGTGGGAGGTCGCGGAACGGAACAGGTCAATATCTTGTCATGTTTATTCCGCATGTACCATATTTATATATTTCATGCTCCTATCCTCATGCAATATTTTCAAATTTGAAGCACCTGCCCTTTTTGGTAACCAAGGGTCCCGGGGATTAGAGATAAAGATAAAGGAGGGAGGGGGTGTATTTATGAAAGGTTTACATATGGAATATGTGGAATAACTTGAATGTCATCAAATCTGTATCAATATAAAGGATATTAATGATCAAAGCAATGAGCTGGAGTCAAGGCCTACTATAGCATTAGAAATAATTACTTGATATCAATTGCAAATGAATCTTGAAATTGAATCTAACCTTGGCATTAGAGCTTTCAATTGTCAGGTCTCTGCAGCTTTCATATAGTTTAATATACTTCGGATATGAATGGAACGAATCCGTGTGTCTTCTAGGGTGAGACTCTTTACTATTACTTGTAACATTACGACCCGAAACATAGTCCATTTTCAGACAATTTCGTTGTTTTCATGGAGACTATCGATTTATCCATCATGCATTTCATTATCATTTGAAATCTTACCAGGTTTTTTCTTTTATTGACTTTGTTTAGAAGTACCCGCAATCTCAAACGACAAGCTCATCATTATTACATCACCAGAATTACACAGAAAGCAATGGCTGCCATTCGATAGTGCATAGTTGCAGAGCGCTTGCGGATTTTTCACTGAAAACCATCTTTAAGGCCTTGAAAAAAAAAATATAATACTATTTGGTTTAAAATTTCAAATTAAGCCGCCATAAATAAATGTAAATCGACCCTAACAGTTGAAATATACACCATATTGTTTTAACAGCTCAGTTTGGAATTACTACTTGAAGCATGAATTTGGCTATTTTGGTAAATTAACGGAATTTAAGCCGTCATTGCAAAATAGGCGTAAATAAAACCGACAAACGAATATCTATTTGAAATAACCCTTAAAATCTATACTGAAGCATCTTGTTTGCGAACAATAACCTCTATCGTTTAGTTTTACGCTTTTGAAATTAATTTGAAATTTTGTTTTTGGTTACGTTGAACAAATGGTGGTCGCGGGTTCTAACCTCGATTGTCGTATGAAAGTCTGGTGACCATGAATCAGTCATCTTTGCCAAGAAAAGCCTAAACCGGCTTGTAGAGCGGTTCTTTGTAATCATTAGTTTTTATCTTTATCACTAACAAGTGGTTGTTTCTTCCACATTTTCTTCATGAAGAGCGTGAAGAGGTTCGAAAAAAAAACGAATTAAATTCACAATATCAACAAAAAAACAAATATTCCCAATGCCCGTCTCTGTTTTTTTTTTTTTATAAATCTTGCATACACTTCACCTTTCAGGTAACACTACCGACAAACATCTAGGTATAAGATCATTACGAAACTGATCTCTATGTTGATATAGATACTGATATAAGAAGAATAAGTCTCAATAATGCTTTGAAAACGTGACGAAGGTTTCAGTTTTGAGAAATGCTAACTGTATATAGAGTAAGGTATAGGTTGGTAGTGAAATATCGGGTTATGTGAAAACGTGGTGTAATGTAAATATTGGTAGATAAAATTAGAAAACTGATCATTTTCTGATTAATTACCTCAGTTCCACAAAATCAGGGATGGTGACTAAATCCATAATCCAGTGTTCAGCAAATGTATGGGCTTTTTTTTTTAAAGCGTGAAGTCAATTTTTGTTTTATATCTAGACAGTAATTCTTTTTTTCAACACGATTTGATAATAACGACGTAAAGTGCATTTTTGTTCTTTTTTATCTGATATTTTGTCCCCATTCTAATCTAACAAGTTCTCTGCCACAGTCCTGTTCTAATGACTTTATTTTAAACCAATCAAGTCATGTGATGTGGGACTCGTTTCTTGAAAACGATGACGAATCGTGGGATTCGAGGCTCTCATATTGCTTTACTTTGGGTTTCTCTACCTCACAGTTCGTAGTGGGTTTTCCCCTTATTATTTGTCAGTAATCATCGTATTATTTTATCTTCCAGGGAATCAGCAGCTAAAACGGACCCTAAATTACGGCGTGGTCTATTTCTATTCGCTGTTTCCAATTCCTGTATGGATCCAATCGTTTATGGTAAGTCACTATTTCTTCTAAAAGGTATAGTCGGTTTGTTGAATGGGGTCTTCTGCTGCAGACACCCGAACAGTTTTTGTCGAAGCTGAGAATTTGCCACAAGAATTGAACATTATCGTGATTTTTAACATCAAACCGGTTTGATATTTGTCGCCAATTTGTTTTTGTCAGATTCGTTTTTACTTCAATTGCATGATCATCTCTTGATTATCGACGTACCGTAAAGGATCGATTGGAGATTTGCTGTCCCCTCGTGTGCCCACAGACGGTCGGAGAAAACTCTAGTCTGCGACAAAAATCAGCGACAAATCCCGTTCGTGTGCTTAAAGGCATCTTGCCAATCTTAAAGCGTTCAGAGTAAGGTCAGAAAACCCTGTTTTATGGGAATTGACGCAGATGTTTCGGACTAAGCTCGTGTGCTCTTGGCTTGTACTACTTAATGCTAAATACATTGATTGAGTTTATCCTTGGAATCACCCTTTGTTATTTACAAATCTCTTTGTCAAAGGAATGAAGAGTCTCAATGGAATATTTTCAACTGTTTACTCTATTGTCACTAATTTACTGTCTTTCCAATTAATTGCTAATAATTTCCCTAGGCATCTGTTATTGGTGCAACATAATTCCGTCATCCAATTAAAAACCCGGAAGAAATTTATTTGAAATACGAACGAAAGCTTCTAAAAAGTCCAGGTTGTAATTGTAAGTTAATTGTAAAAGTTCACTTAATAATTATCAAGGGAATGGACTGAATACGAAACTACGTATGGTTCGTACATGGAAATAACACACACGGCCGTAGTTTACAACCATTTTCATACTCTTTTTCGACTTAAATTGATAAATTTTGATGATTTGGATTATATTTCATCTAAGGCTTTTAAGGGTTTAGAAATGGCTTTAAAGGTTCAGAAATGGCTTTAAATGTGAGTTGAACGCTTAGTTGATATATCACAACCTTTATATAGATTCGACTTATTAAGTCGAGGTAGAGATTCAAAATGGCCCTGAACTACGTTCGTGTTTGTTATTTCCATGTAAGTAGTTTAGTATGGCATGGATTGTAAAATATCAGACTGTTAACGTAACGTGGGGATGAGTGAAGTTGGTGAAGGGATGGGGTATTCTTACTAGAGTGTCGACAATATGAGTCGACTTTCCAGGGGTACCATTTTGGTTATTAATTTTTCAAAACACTCTTCATTTGAAATTGTACCATCATTGGTTATACTTCTCGTCCCAGCCCCTTCATTACAGCTCATATATCAATTATTAAGCTATACCCTGTACATAGTGCATATTGCCACTAGGGAAAAACACGACCCAAGGGTGATACTATCATCAGTAACGCTTCTCGTATCAGCCCCCTCATTACAGCTCTCCAATTACATCCTGTACATAGCACATATTGCCACTTGAGAAAACCTTGACCCAAGGATTGTACCACCATCAGTTACGCTTCTCGTATCAACGTATAACCCTAAAGTGCATATTGCCACTAGGGAAAACCTTGACACAAGGAGATGAGCTGGTCAGAATGTTGGCCGTTATTTCACACTTCAGTTGCTACATGAAGTTGATAAATTTGGCGATAACCTTGCAGTAATATACTTGGCCTAAATCTTGATAGCGACCAATTACCCCTCTATTCTAGGCCACATCTATAATAATGTCGGTTGAATCGATTCCTCTCACGCTTTATTATTGTAAAGAGCTCTTTAAGATGGCTTCTTGATGTAAATGACTATTATTAAGAAAATACTATTTCTAAATAAGTATCTTTTTTATTAGCAATCAAAACACTGTACTCGAACTACGAATTTTGATACATTTTCATCAATGTTAACTGTTATGATCCAGGCCTGTAGCCAGATGTGATTCTTCGGAAAGTAAAAGTAATATATCAGGAGTTGAAATGATTTGTGGTGTTTAGGTGCAATAATTGAATAGGTCAGTTATCAGAATTTCACCCACTCCCTTTGATCCCTGTAGATACGGGCATGTTATTATCTCAAGCGCAACCTTATAACCAGTTAGATAGTTTGGTATGCGCTAATTTCAGTGAGTTAACAATACTTTGGTGTACTCTATTCCATTCTGAGCATAGGAAACTACTATTTTATCAAGCAGAAACTGTTAGCTAGTTTGACACGATAGTTTGGTATTGTCTAACTATTTCTGACAACTGTTATTATCTGAAGCACAATCTGCTAGTTAGTTGGACAATATAATTTCGCGTGTCGTGTCTGTACAAACGATATGATCAGTCAATTTTGTTTAAATCTTATGACTTGTACTTCAACCCTGAAATATCAAACGTTTTCAACGAATGCGGATATCTTAGTATACGTTTTGTTTCAATTCAATATGGTATATAAGTGAATTATGGTACACAAAATTGAGATAACGAATTCACCTGGTTGTTATTGAATAGGTGTAATGGCATTCTGATATACAATCACATCAGAGGAAAGGGAATTACTTGGCGATTGTTAGCGGTAAACACAGAATAAACTTTCCTCAAGAGACCAGTAATAACGACCACTTCAATTAGTTGCTAGAATAGCGCAACGGACATCGTATTTTGTAAGATGAATCAGTCCGGATATTTGGTTTTAGTCAGTAGGCAATTATCAGCTTCCGCACCTTACAGTCCATCCGTAGTACGGAAGTGGAAGTCTCAAAGCAGCAATCCGGTCAACAAGGCTACTAATCCCCCTTTGTACTTGTTCAATTTCACTAATTAGCAAACTAGATCCAATAGTTTTGTTGAAGGTGTTAGATAAGACAGAACACCCCCTCCCACCCCCTTCAAAAATCACCCTTGTGTCTGTTGCTACCCCAGGCTGAAAATCGGTGATAGAGTTCATCAACACGTTTATCTTTATTCTATTAGTCGGTCAATAACCTTGTCTTCTTGTTTATACCAACACCGTGATGGCGAATTGTATCATAATTGGAGCTAAGTCAATAATTACTTTGATGTTTTACATCTAACGTTTCCATCGTGTGACTTTCTAGTCGTTAATCTTTGACAGTATTTTTCATTGGCGTTTCCTAAGGGAGATTGAACGGGTTAAGCCCTCAAAATGCACATATTTTGGGACGAATACGTATAAGATCATACTTTAAAGTAAGGTACATTTGGTGTATCCATCTGTTGCCGGCATTTATAGTTGTAGCTAGGAAATGTAGGAAATGGTTTCCCCTGCAGGGTTCATTTAAAGATTCCCCTACAGGGTTCATTAATAGCATTGCTGTCACAGTGTTCATTAACCTCCCGTTACAGAATATATATATTATGAACATGGATCACAGCTCAGATGCCAGAAATAGTAATAAAGCAATCGTTCGCAATCGCAATCGAAATTATATACGAATTAAGGCCTGAGATCGTCATTCTGTAAAGTGATTAAAAATTGGCTATTTTCGATTAAAATCAAATCAATAGTCCCTTATATTAAGATCCGTAGTTCCGAACCTTTCGAACTCTTTTTGAAGTCCTTGCGACGTTTTGAAGCCGCGGATACCCCTTCTTTCATTGTTGTTTAGGCTTCTCGGTTCATTTTTTAATCTTGAAGAATATTTATGATTGAGAGGGAGAGGAGCCTATTTGCTATTGGGCGGATGCAATTACACATCTGGGCTGAATCTGGGTATGAAAGAATGTCTTAATTGGGGTAATGGATAATAAGAGATAATATCATCATGCCGTGTAGAAGTCTAATTTAAAACTGGTCCAAGTAGCGGTGACATTTAGCAAATAACTAGTATCAATGGCATTTATATTCTCCAGGGAGACCACGACACCGTGATGACGGGACCCTCTGGTCATGTTCCTAGATTGTTTTTCTGTGTAAAAGGAAATAATTTGTCTTTCTTTGACATCTTTATCCTAATATTCCGGTTGGTAATTTCCCGTTTCTCATCTGTTTTCAAGATATATTGTCTGTATGACTCCGCTATATCATCGCTCAAACACTGAAATAACCGTGTATCATGTACAAGGGCACACGAACCCTGGTTGACAGTTCTACCAGCTGGTCTCCGATCAAATTTATTGGCACTGATCTTTCCAGGTTTATCAGTGCCGTGACCGTAAGTTCAATAAATCAAAGTAGAGATGATAAAATAATTTTTTTATTACAAATCCAAAACAGATCGTCCATTGCCAAATTCACACTCCGAGCTCTCTCTCTCTCTCTCTCTCTCTCTCTCTCTCTCAATCACGTGATCTTACATCATGAAACAATCGGAACTGACTGATAATAGTGTATGCATATAAAATGACTCTAAATGTGTAATATTTGATTATGACAATCAGTATCCGGTTACAGCCTATGCGATGAAATAATGATGTAAGATAACTTATTCGAGGTCATCAGATTTTCAAATTGCGACCATAATTATCAAATCAATGTCGATTCGTCGATAGAAATAAAAAATATTGAATTAGTCTTGAATGTACACATATGGACTCACTCCACTAATTCATTTGCTATCTCTTCCCATGTTAAAACACGAAATTCAACCTTCCGCCTTTAGGTCTCTCATCATCTCACCATATCTTAAAAATAATGCAATTTCAGACATCAAATTCTAAATTTAGACCAAAAATTACTCAAAAATAGGTTTGCAAAAACCTCAAAAGGGAGAGAGAAAGAAGATTTCTAAATGTAGCCTGGACTACATTCGTATTCAATCCATGAAATGTTTTACTGGAGTGAGTCCACATATACTTGATTTGTATTTATTTAGACTCTCACCATGACGGTAGACTTTAGAAACAAACCATAATAAATAAAACATTGGTATATAATGGATGAGATATCAATAGATTGTGTGATTTTAAATAGAAATTCCGGTAATTACTACTCCAGTGAATACCAGTCTTTCTTTTTATTCAGATGATAGATCGCTTTCTTAAATTACCCAGTTTATAATATCTTCAAACAGAAGGCATTATGGCGACTACCTACTGATTTCTTGGACCTTTGGTTTCCTTTTTATGTTTAAAGGGGCAAATTTCCCATAAAATGTAAATAGAAGTATGTCGCATAATTCCTTTCAATTTACTTTCTATTTCTATATATATTTTCTGTTTATGCCAGAGTTTCAAGAAAGACGAGTCGTCATTGTAACTTTCAAACGTGGATTTAAAGGCTCAAATTTGGACGGTGAGCTATATTACTGATTCTTATTATGAGACTAAGGTACGTTTGGTCAAACGGATGGCGAACCTTTCCCTTTAAGCAACGTGTAGGGAAAAAATCACAATAAACAACGGAACAGAATATTATGATAGACCACTACTCCTAGACCATTTTGTACACAGAATCTAACAGCGCTAGCCACTTTAAATTAATTGGTATAAAATTCAATAAGAAAGAAAACAGAAGTATAAAAATTTGTCTTTTGTTACAAATGAAATATCCGGCGTCTCGGGGATTTCTACCTAATTCATTTCACAAATAGAATTCTGTAATTATTTTTTAATAACCCCTAACCTAGATTGGATCGTAATTTGGTTACAATTGACAAATAAAAACATTAATTATTATTATCTAATTTCCAACCGTCAATCAGCTAGAAAACCGATAAATATAACGGCAACTCGTATGGAATATGGAGGAGAATCCATACCACAAAATGTTTTGAAAGATGTTTATTACGTTAAAAAATATTTAATTACAAAATATTGTCATTGTAGAAATAGAGCTCAATACATCAATTGTAGAGCGATATAGAAATACCACAGTTAAAATAGAGCTCAATACATCAATTGTAGAGTGATATAGAAATACCACTGTTAAAATAGAGCTCAATACATCAATTGTAGAGCGATATAGAAATACCACAGTTAAAATAGAGCTCAATACATCAATTGTAGAGCGATATAGAAATATCACAGTTAAAATAGAGCTCAATACATCAATTGTAGAGTGATATAGAAATACCACAGTTAAGATAGTGCTCAATACATCAATTGTAGAGCGATATAGAAATATCACTGTTAAAATAGTGTTCAATACATCAATTGTATAGCGATATAGAAATACCACTGTTAAAATAGTGCTCAATACATCAATTGTAGAGCAACATAGAAATACCACTGTTAAAATAGTGCTCTATACATCAATTGTATAGCGATATAGAAATACCACTGTTAAAATAGTGTTCAATACATCAATTGTAGAGTGATATAGAAATACCACTGTTAAAATAGTGTTCAATACATCAATTGTAGAGCGATATAGAAATACCACTGTTAAAATAGTGTTCAATACATCAATTGTAGAGTGATATAGAAATACCACTGTTATAATAGTACTCAATACATCAATTGTAGAGCGATATAGAAATACCACTGTTAATATAGTACTCAATACATCAATTGTAGAGTAATATAGAAATACCACTGTTAAAATAGTACTCAATACATCAATTGTAGAGTGATATAGAAATACCACTGTTAAAATAGTACTCAATACATCAATTGTAGAGTGACANAGAAATACCACTGTTAAAATAGTACTCAATACATCAATTGTAGAGCGATATAGAAATACCACTGTTAAAATAGTACTCAATACATCAATTGTAGAGTGATATAAAAATACTACTGTTAAAATAGTACTCAATACATCAATTGTAGAGTGATATAGAAATACCACTGTTAAAATAGTACTCAATACATCAATTGTAGAGATGAAACACAGCGTATTTGGTTAGTGTACAACGCATGCGTGTCGAACAACTATTACTTTGTAAGATAGCCATAAAACTAATAAATTGTTAAATGGCGACAATAGAGGGGAATTTTTTTTCCATCGTCTGTTTTAGAAAGTTGCAATTAATGTAATGGCATGTTACTGGAATGATGAACCTTTCCAGATACAAATAGTCGTCGTGGATTTTATCCAGCCCAAATAGGGTCGGATTTTAACTGCTAATAACTGGAAGGTTCGAAAAATGTTTTAAAGAGAGGCAACAAAGCGAAGAGGGTAGCATCTTCAAAATGTCAAACGTTTGCTATCTTCGTATGTATTCTTGTATGTTCTTATACCATTACAATTTCTCTAACAATGACCTTAATTCAATAATTCATATTTCAGATGACTCTGTTCTGTTTTGAAAATTTTCGTAAAATGCATGTATACATATTGTACTTTCCTTTTTTCTTTTCCTTTTCTTCTTTTTATTTTTCTGTAGCTCTTTATTGAATTTTGTCAGCTTTTCTTTTATTCATGTTTTTTTTTGTTTATTTTTTTTGTTTTCCTCGAGGTTCACCTTTAAACGAAAATTTCAAGATGGCGTCGATCTCCACGAAAGCTTTAGTGAATTAGACCTGAATGTTAAAGTGAGCCTGTCAAGGGAATTAAAAAAACTGTTAGAAATTTTGTTTTTTGATTGCAATATTAACGATGGGCTCATTTTACATTGTAGGTATGTTCACTACAGCTTTTGGTCGAGAGACAAGGAAATGGAAACAGTGGCTTAAGAGTAAAATAAAAGACGAACATATAATTTACTGACAACGACTTCCTTCAGGTTACCTCCCTTTTTTGTCAAAAGTCTATAATATTTATCGGAATGTCCGCTTCTCTGGTATCTGCCAGGGCCGTTACTACATCAAGGCAAATGAGACAAATGCTTCATGCAGAATTAGACAACAAAATTTATTTTGTTCAAAAAATTGAAAAATATATATATGATAGCGGCTAAATATATTGATTATTTTATAATTTTTGTAAGACATATAGAAGCAGCAAGTTAAACATGAAGAACATAAGTTATATGGATATACTACTTCTAGTTTTATTACATACTACGTTTACTTGATATCGTTACCTGTATGTGTTTCGAAACGTAGTATGTAATAAAACAGTAGTATATCCATATAACTTGTGTTCTTAATGATTATTTTATGTCTATAGTAAATTGGTCTCTGTTCGGTATTAATGATAAAATTACCGGTATCGAATACAGTGAGGCAAAAATCAAGTTAGTCTAGTAATACTACCACTACTAGACTAACTTGATTTACCAAATGGTCGCCTCACTGTATTCAAAAACGACCATTTAATCATAAATAAGGATATTTAGCGCTCTGGATACACAAATATCATACATCACTTCCCATCAGTTAAAACTAAGCAATGTAAGACGTAATAAAGAGTTGTTAAGGCAACGGTGAAGCAAAATGTGAATGAGTCAGCAATTTTTAGTTAGAAATAGCGCCATTTAGTAAGGGGAGATAACATATATAATTATGTATTTGTGGTTTGATGATTTATTACGAATTCTTTCTTTCTGGAATTGCATAAACCACAGGCATCGGACGAGGAATTGGAATGTTTCAAATAGAAGTCAAAAGTGTCTCCGATGCACATAAAAAGGCGACCTCTTTACAATCCCTTTAATCTTCGACATTATATGTCGATTTAGGCATCTGTTATTGCAGACAAATAATTGTCAGCTAATATGCTCTATTTTCATTTTTAAAGGTGATATGAAATTTGTGCTATTATTACACCAAACATTAAATAATGTTATATAATTTTAAACATTGAATTCAATGATTTATGGGCCATTATATTTGTAAAAACACAAGAAAATCTAGATGTTTAGAACTTTTACTAATTTCTTCTTTAAATGAGAGCCAATAACTGTGTTATTTCTTTAAGCAAATTTTATTTCCTGGTATATTTTCTTGTCCTTTTTCGCAACTAGTTTTAGATTATTTTACATTTTAAAAACTAAGAAAATTATTTCTGATTTTAAGGTTATGTATTCCTGTAAGCACACACCCTGTAGCGTTTATTTATTTTTATTTTTTTCTTATTCCAGGTATGTTTACCATAAATTTCAAACGAGAATTCCAAAGATGTTGTCAATGTGTCAACAAAGATACAGAATTAACGGATCGGATCGTGAATCGTGGTGGTTCTCCGGCTCCTATTTCAAGACCCAACTCGGAACAATCTGGATCATCTTATAAAAATTCGGAACGAGTATATTATCGTAGTTCGGAAAGTCATTCCAGTGTACCAAAGCGGTACAATTTGTTGTCTGAGTCGATTTCAAATTCGAATTCCCGGGTGTCTGTGAATTCCACACCACGTGATACAGGTGTTTACAGAGCGAATATTAACAATTTTGTTGGGATATAGCATGCCTACACCTATGTTGGTGTAAGTAAGACGGGTTGCTTGTGTTAAAAGGTTGAATATTAACAATTTTGTTGGTATTTGTTTCGTGTTGTCTGTGAATTCCAAACTACTGAATTCAAGTGTTTTAGAGCGAATATTAACTATTGTAACATGTTGGGATGTTGTTGGTGTCTGTGAATTCCAAACCACGGGATTATATTGTTTACTGAGCGAATATTAACAATATTGGTAAGATGTAATAAATATGTATTGGTGTTTGTGAATTCCAAACCAGGTGTTTAAAGATCGAATATCAACAATTTTGTACGTATGTAAAGCATTTTTCTTGGTGTCTGTGAATTCCAAACCACGGGATTATATTGTTTACAGAACAATTTTGTTGGCATATGAGGCGTATTTTCTCCGTGTCTGTGAATTCCAAACCAAGGTGTGATAGTGATTACAAAGCGAATATTAACAATTTTGTTGGCATCTTATACCCTTTCGTCGGTGAATTCCAAACTACAGTGTTTAAGAGCGAATATTTAATATTATGTTTGGATGTTTTCTTGCTGTCAGTGGATGCTACCGTTTCCAGAGCGAATATTAACAACTTTGATGGTATATAAAACATAAACGTGGATTCTGTGAATTCCAAACTGCGGAATACATATTTTGTAGAGCTAATATTAACTATTGTCAAGCGTTGGGGTGTAATAAATGTCCTTTGGTGTTTATGAAATTCACAACACGGGATGATTGTGTTTTAAGACAATTTTGAATGCTTATGGATGTCTGTAAATTGCGAAATACGAGATACTGCATATCATGGATTTTGGAAAGGTTTTTTTTTTAAGTGATTAAGTCCACGAAAACCGTTTAAACTTTCCATGAAGCCTTGATTTGTTCTTTTGATGGTGATATTTCTTTTCTTTTGAAAGTCAACGAATAGTTTTGCAAAGTCTCATAAGCGTGATTTGGTTATTGTTTCGTGACGATGATTTTAATTATTGTAGGAATATGAGATAATTAAGTGTCTTGTATTATTTTATTTATCTAAATTAGCAAGAAACAATCTTAAAATCTTGGAAGTGCTGCCAGGAGTACTGAGGAGGCACAAACAAATAAAATCTTATTTAACATCGGACCGGATACTAGCCTCAACATCACAGCACCTAGTCGCACAGCAGACGACAATTCAACTCGCTAAAGACTGAGTTATTCGACTGTAAAGTGTGTACATTTAAATAGACAGTGGCGAATTGTGAGTATCAAAAGCTCATCTTTTGTCAGTTATAACTCACTATATACCTAATTGATATACGAAGCCTGTTTAAAGGCCAAACGATCGACTTTCAAGGATACATTGTTGATATATTGGCTTCATTTAGAAGGTTTATATGTAACAGAACCTAGTCTCTTAGAAAAACCAAATTTGAAACTAATATTTCCATTACAGTTAACCCTAATGACATTTATAAGCCAGGAAAATGAAAAATGTTATAGGATTTTATGTGCATCTGGGACGTTTAGTTTTCGTGGAACAATCTAATTTCCCGTGAAAAGTCTAGAATTCCGGTAATCCCGGAGTGTGATAGGAAATGAATATATAAAGGTCACATGGATTCAGAAGATACATACATGGAAATTGTGCCACTTTGTTGAAAAGACCCTATACTAATTTCAAAATACCACAATTTTGTACAAGTGATGTTCATAAGTCGGATTTTATTGGTATCACGATATTGTTGACAGGTCGGAAAACGTGAATTGAATCTGAAGAAATTCGTGTGGAACGTGAGAAGGTTGCCCTCTGTGCTTGAGCAATATTCAAAATAATTCGAGAGCTAATATCGCTAATGTCAAAATCTTGGAACTGCCATTGATAATGTCGTCTGCCTGTGAAGATAGAGCGGGAAATTGGTCAAGTGGTCATACTAATTACTTCTATCGCCCACTTCAATACTCTAGATGTCAGCGAGCAAGACGTCTAGCCTTCAGCATTGCCATTCTTGTCTTGATCAAGCAGCGTCCTGTCTTGGATAAGATAGATTTTTAGTTGTCTTGCTTTCAATCCAATCTAATGAAAATTAGCTTACAATTTCGTTTCTCTTTTCTTTCTTATATTTTCGTCTCCATTGTGATCAAACATTTTTTTACGACAGTTCCGTAATAATGAAGTTATATCAATCAATGAAAGCCGTTTCTTGAAGACGATGACGAATTGTCGTGGGATATCGGCTGCGCGAAGAGGTTATCATATTGCTCTACTTTGGGATTCGCTATCAATCGCTTGTCATAGTTATAACGAAACGGATCCCAGAGAAACGCTTTGATAATTACTACTAAAGGGATTGCAGTAGACAACTTGTTAGATTACATTTAAGACGATGGATATAGAAAAATAAAGAAAAGAAACACAATTGTTATGTAAATTATTGACAAGAACCCAAACAAACCACAATCGCTAGACAAACTACTAACTATGAATAGCACAGATCTTTTGCAACTCTATTTATGTGGATTCTATAGCTTGGACAAAAGAAACTTCTAGATCAGCACTGTTGATCAGTAGACATAGAAATGCAATAATATTAAGTCACCCATTTTCAAGATAATTCTCCGTGATCCGCATCGGAGGAGCCTGGGTGATTGGCTCAAATTACAACCCAAAATGAAATAGGGTATGTGCATGGAAGAATTGACAAAAGAACTTTAGAAACCCAAGAATCAGTCTATTTCTAAAGGTTCTGCATGTCTATGCATGGAAGAAGTGACAAAGAACTTTAGAAATCCAAGATTTCAGTTTATTTCTGAAGGTTCTGCATGTATCGCCTACCGTCAGTGCTATGTCAAATAAATATTCACTCAAATGTATGGGATCTCAATGTTATTGTTCATATTGTAATATATGTATTGTTTTATATTATTTATATACATATAGCCCTAGCCCGACAAATCCAGTCCCACCAGTTCCTTAGTCGTGATAAACGGACATGATTTCGCCACGATTAGAGCCAGACATGGGAGTTGTGCCAAATTTGGCTTTTGTCATTATCAAATTATCAAATTTAGCGATCAAGTGAATTTGAAATAATTCCCTTGCAAAATGACATCAAATATTTGGCCCTAACATTGACGAAACAACAACCGTATAAACCACGCCTGGGGAACTGGTAAAGTCAGATTTGTCTGGCAAATTTAGTCCACGAGCCGGATCAGATATTGATAGCATTTGGTGGGACAACTGACGTTTTCCTTACATAGATAATCGATAATCGTGTCATAGAAGACTTAACTCATCTGTAATAGGTCGTCGTGATATCTGTTTATTCAAAATTTCAATCCGATGTCCGGTTCCCTATAATGAAGAAAAGATGTACCATTAAAGTTCTTAGACTGTCTTCAATCCAGGTCACGTTTGAACATTCAAACTTGCACAATAATAAATGTAAGTTATTATTTAAAACCACTAAAAGTGACGACTTCACTACATTTTTGATTTTCCATTTTGAAACGTATATGATCATTCTGGATAGCTATCACCTGTAAAATATTTAGGCACTTTATCAATAAAAAAAACTTCGCCAGAAAAGTAGATGTCGTCCCACCAAAGGTTGCCAATATCTAAAATACAGAGATCTAGGTCGTGGACGTATACTTAATTTAATGCTCAACACATCACGTGCCTCTAATAATGATCGATTGTTTTCATGCACAACTGCACGATTGTATCCACATGCTAGCTCATGTTCAAAATGAAGTTCTCAAATGCGACCTAGTGCTGGGTATCGCATATCATGCCACGATACGATACGTATTGCGATACATGGGTCACGATACGATACGTATTGCGATACATGGGTCACGATACGATACGTATTGCGATACATGGGTCACGATACGATATGTATTACGATACATGGGTCACGATACGATACGTATTGCGATACATGGGTCACGATACGATATGTATTGCGATACATGGGTCACGATAGATACGTATTGCGCTTTATGGTAATAGGATAAAATTTTACATTTTATCTTCAAGGTTTCTAAATTTATTAATTTAAAACTGTGATATTTGACAATGTAATTGTAATGTAGTCTTATGAGCCTCTTCCTCACTACCAATCTAACTGAAATTACAATTAATTAAAAACATTTCGATGAGAAGTATCAAAAACAAAATCAAAATTGTAACCTAATCCAAAAAGGATTGGTCCTCAACATAATTGGCTACTGACGCTAAAACAAGAAAAAAAGATAGGATTATGATACTTGTAGCTAGAAAATTCAGACCAGTATGGAAAGATGACTCCATTCACTTGGATCAATAAATTTAATCTAGCTCTACAAATTGAACGCATTTTCTCCGAATTGGTTAAAAGCAATTAGATTTAACATGGATTTGAATTGATTTGATTTGAGACGCACAAAAAAGATAGATACTTTTCGGACGATTCCTAGTAGGCCTAGACATTTGAGAACATCTTTTAATGAACGCGTTATACTTTTCCCCATCTTTTGTTGTTATTTCTAAGTGATATGAATCTGAACAAATTGTATTAAAGGGATGAGGTATTCTAGAGAGCTGACATCATTTTGAGCAAGTTATATTTGTGGTGACGACGCCTCAATCTGTTTATACAGCCAATCTCAATCCCTGTTTATACAGTCAATCTGTTTATCAGTTTATACAGTCAATCAGTTTATACAGTCAATCAGTTTATACAGTCAATCAGTTTATACAGCCAATATGTTTATACAGTCAATCTGTTTATACAGTCAATCTGTTTATACAGTCAATCTCTGTTTATACAGTCAATCTCTGTTTATACAGTCAATCTGTTTATACAGTCAATCTCTGTTTATACAGTCAATCTGTTTATACAGTCAATCTGTGTATTCAGTCAATCTGTTTATACAGTCAATCTGTTTATACAGTCAAGCTGTTTATACATTCAATCTGTCCATACAGCCAATCTCTGTTTAAACAGCCAATCTGTCTATACAGTCAATCTGTTTATACAGTCAATCTGTTTATACAGTCAATCTGTCTATACAGTCAATCTGTCTATACAGTCAATCTGTTTATACAGTCAAGCTGTTTATACATTCAATCTGTCAATACAGCCAATCTGTCTATACAGTCAATCAGTTTATACAGTCAATCAGTTTATACAGTCAATCAGTTTATACAGCCAATATGTTTATACAGTCAATCTGTTTATACAGTCAATCTGTTTATACAGTCAATCTCTGTTTATACAGTCAATCTCTTTTTATACAGTCAATCTGTTTATACAGTCAATCTCTGTTTATACAGTCAATCTGTTTATACAGTAAATCTGTGTATTCAGTCAATCTGTTTATACAGTCAATCTGTTTATACAGTCAAGCTGTTTATACATTCAATCTGTCAATACAGCCAATCTCTGTTTAAACAGCCAATCTGTCTATACAGTCAATCTGTTTATACAGTCAATCTGTTTATACAGTCAATCTCTGTTTATACAGTCAATCTCTGTTTATACAGTCAATCTGTCTATACAGTCAGTCCTTAATACAGTCAATCTGTTTATACAGTCAATCTCTGTTTATACAGTCAATCTGTTTATACAGTCAATCTGTTTATACAGTCAAGCTGTTTATACATTCAATCTGTCAATACAGCCAATCTCTGTTTAAACAGCCAATCTGTCTATACAGTCAATCTGTTTATACAGTCAATCTGTTTATACAGTCAATCTCTGTTTATACAGTCAATCTCTGTTTATACAGTCAATCTGTCTATACAGCCAGTCTGTAATACAGTCAATCTGTTTATACAGTCAATCTGTCTATACAGTCAGTCTGTAATACAGTCAATCTGTTTATACAGTCAATCTGTTTATACAGTCAAGCTGTTTATACATTCAATCTGTCCATACAGCCAATCTCTGTTTAAACAGCCAATCTGTCTATACAGTCAATCTGTTTATACAGTCAATCTGTTTATACAGTCAATCTGTCTATACAGTCAATCT